ACTGCATCCCCTACCCCTCTGACCTTACTTCATAGGTGTGAACCTGCTTCCACCTCGTCATCATCTGTCATTCTCCACACGCTATCCCTCATATCAAAAATGTAACTGAACCTCTGTTTTTCCTTCATCCCACAGAACCTAATTGTTCTGCTGCTAGGGTTTGTGGGCTTTTTGTTTATATAAAATGTATATATCTAAAAACTGTGAGATCTCTGTATCCACGATGCCACCAGGTCATGTGGCTGGCTATAAACTGCCATGAACTACATAGAAGCCAACCTTTCCAGGGGATTTTTATTTCCAACAGGGTAGTTACTTAACAGAATAATGAATTTCTTAAAGTAAACATCCTTATTTGAACTGTTTCAGTCAAAATGGAAGCAAACTGCCTTTGCCACGTACAGCACAAATCCTGCCCTGTTCCGCCGTGCGTATGCCACACCACGTGCTGCAGGGTAAGGCTGCTTGACTATTAGAATAAAGCGGACATCCTAAAATGCAGATTTCCTTTTTTGTCACCTTTTTTTTGAACGACCTACATTTTTCTTTGGATGAACTCTCACACATTCCCCCAAAAAGCCTACCGATGGTCTGACTCAGCCCTGGAGCTCCTGTTCCAACCACAGCAAGCACTCCCTCAGTATACCCTTCATTCAGAAAGCAGCATACCCTTCTGAGGTTTCGTAAGTGACTCCATCCAGAACAGCACATAACCTTTTCTTTCCTAATGTTACAGCTCCCAAAACGTTGGCATCAGAACAGCCTTAGTCTGCTGAAGGAAATGTTTAAGACCAACTTTGTCACAATGCCAGAAATTCACTGCCCTAAGCATGGCTGTTACACAAGTTCCCTTTTACTGGGTGAAAAAAACAAGAGGTTGGAAAAGGAAGTATTCTAAGTACCTCAAAAAAGTATTATTCACAGTCTTTCTGGGATAAAGGTGTAAAAGAGAGGTTGGAGCTCTACTTCTGTTCCCTCTTCCTCCAAGCACTGTCCTGCCCCAGCATGTCTCCTTGTCTGAAGATGTGAGTAGGAGGTTAGCACGGGTAGATGCTTCTATCCCAACTCTACTAGCTGCCTCTTGACTCCTCTGCTACTTACCAACGGATTTCTAAACCTAGGAAGGAGCAAGCAGAAAGCCTGTAGCTTTCCCATTTGGCTTCTGGATGTGAATTTGGAGGAAATAAATTCATGCCCTTGTCTTATACCTCAGTATCTCCTGGACAGCCTTTTCACACCCAGCTACTCAGCAATTTAACTACAAACAATGAGTTTTCATACGCTTTCTTGCTCTGAGCTGGAAGAGGGCATTCAGGTCATGAGTCACTTTCTTCCAGTACAAATTACTCTTTCAGTGCACAATTACATAGACAAAAGATAAGGGTCTGTGGTTTTCTGAAAAAAAAACCAAACCATAAGCAAACCATCCCAAGACTTCAAAGTTACGACTCATGTCAGCGCTACTCAGGGTTTGTCTTCCCAAGAGATACAGTTTAAAACTACTTCTGTTCAGCTGCTGCCTCCTCCCCATCTTTCTTTCACAGATGCACTCAGTCCCCAGCCAGGACAGGGATGCTGAATATCCCTCAGCACCATTTGTCTTGTAGAGCTGTAGCTGGTTTCAGGGAATGAAAGAGCAGGAAGATAAGTGGAAAAGGTTTATTTCCTCAACAAAGAAATCCACATTCTAGGTGAGTTTCCAAAGTCAATTATCGGGAACGCACCCCATTTCACATCTATTTCTTCAGGCAGTCAGCTGAGACCTGCCTTTCTCGCCTGTCAGCAGCTCTCCTCCTCCACATTGCTGCTCCTCTTAGGTGAAAGCACAGGGAATAGGGGAATCAGCAGCATCAGGAGACCAAAAGCTGAACTGAAGGTTAAGCACAGCAAGTTTTCTAACCTCTACAGCTGCATTAACTGCAGCCCCAGAAAGATCATCGTCAGGTCATCTGCTAGTGTCAGAAGGTGTTGCTCAGGCAGAATTTGCTGTGTTTTGTGTGAGGACTATAACGAGAAATGACTGAAAATTAAGATACTTTTTTGGTGACAGATTGCGGGACTTTGACAACTTGCCCTCACCTAGAGTTGAAATGCAAAAGAAATATATTTTTTAGGATTCCTTAGCAAACATACAGCTGGTGAAAACTTGAGTCATCACGCACCATTCTCTCCCGTAAACAAAGCTCCCTACCCAAACTTATCCTCAGAAGGGCCACGGTGGTTATCACTCTCTCCTGCTATTTGAGCTACAGCTCAGAACAGAGATTTAACTCAGCTCAACTCAAAACGGTTTGCTCATAAAAATGTTTTGCATGTACAATATTTTGACATTTTTCAATCAGCCCTAACCTTGCACGTCAAGCCGGAGTACTAAAAAGAACAACTCATCATTTGAATAACTGAGTCTTGGCACTGGTTACTCCTCAGTAGACAGCTGTAAAGGTTAAGTAGTATGTTTAAGATGTTTTAATGTATTTTCCAAATTAAAAACCTTAATTTTTCACATATTTGGTCTATGAGAGTTATTTAATTAGCTGTATGCCATTTAAAGGTTTTTACAGCGAAGAAGTACTTCACAGTGAAATCCTGAAGTAAAATTCTTTCCAGATAAAGACAAATATAGCAAAGGGAACAGAAGTATGAGGGCATATCAAATACGGTAGAAGCCACACATCCTGTTCAATGACATGTAGACATTTTTAGAACATTCATTCCTTTCAGTCGAGACAGATTAAGAACTTTTTGCATTCCCCATTTTTTCAAATGTAGGCCCAGATGACTGGGCAAACACGAAAGGACCAGAGTCAAGGATTCTTTGGGAAGCCTGATTTTAAAATAAAAGACATAGCAGCTGCGGTTGCAAAGAATAGCGTAAGCCATCGCAACCAAAAGCGATACAAACAGCACCGTGTTTTTTCCGGTTTGACACACACTTGAAAGCACGCTGGGGGCAAACCTGGGCAGCCAGTCTGTCTGTAGGCTTCATCCTTGTCAGGAAGCGCCAAATAAAATCTTAATACAAAGACAAAGCTAGTTACCGTTTATAGCAACATTTTTGCTCAGATACCTCAAGAAGTTTACATCCTGTTAAATATTTTTCTTCTTAATAAACAATTGGAAAAAAGCCCCAATCAATTTCATAGCAATATTTCAATGACGTTTTAATTTACTGATAAAAGAAGATCTATATTTAGTCAAATATTGTGTCTCTGCTAATATTCCACCCAAAAAACCCATCCACCTTTTTCCCCACAGACAAAGGAGCTTCTTTTAAATTCCCACACCGTCATTATCCAAAGTTTCTAAAGCTCGTTTCACTCCAAATGATTTTATTCCTATCAGCAAGCCATTAGCTCACTCCTGAAGCAGTTTATTCCGACCAGAACCCGGACAATGATTTCAGAGCAAACGACAAACACTCAGCAGGTCAGAAAGGAGCGCCCGTGCTACCTCACTGAAATGACAGCGAATCTCAGGCTGAGATGGGAGGGAGAGTCGGTGGCTCTCTGGTGATTTGTTCTCTGCAAGTGGAATTGTTTCCTTACAAATCTAGGAAGACAAATAAACTTGGTTTTTGCCAGCTAGCTCCTCAGGGCGTGGGCAGCAGGGTTACCCCCCCTTCAATTACAGCTGAGCACTGTGATGGATCTGGCTGTCCTTCCTCTCCACGACTAATTTTTTTGGAGGCGGTAGTAGATAATACAGATACCAGGCTCATTCTCCTTTCTCGTACTCAGATCTTCCTAATGGCTGTAAATAACTTCTTCCACAGCAAGGCGGTTTCTAAATGAACTGCGGTGGTTCCCAAGAACACGGTTACGGCTGCAGACCACAAGTTACGAACGTGAGCCACCTCCTTTTGTTTACGGGAAAAGTTTGGTTCAGCGAGCAATAAAAATATTTACCACAACAACTGAAAGCCCCCTAAAGATAACATTAATAACAAAACCTGCTCTAATGAAGGCTTACCTGCTCTCTAGAGCAAACTTAAGATGCGTAAATTATTTTTAAGCAGATGGCTTTAAGTAGTTAACAGCGGCTTAATGAGGCAAATGAAAAACAGTTCATGATTTGCTAAACCCTTTCTGCTTTGTGCCTTAATTGTTCAGTTGTCATTTCTTGGCAATGAGCAGGAACCAGAAGGAAGCAGGGCATTATTTTAAAAGCAGCACATTATGCCAGAACTGATGCTGCAGTCACAGCACCTGAGGGCGAGGCTTGGTGTTGCCCAGGAGCAGATGGGTAGAGCCCCTGACCCCCGGGCACGTTCTCCCTTTGAGCCCAGAAAGCTTACACGCCATTTGCTGTGCGTGGAATCAAAAAGATGAAATAAAATGCTGAGCAGAACACGTTCGGCAAGCACAGGCCGCCGTGCAGTGACATAGCATTCTAGCAGTACATGGGCAGAAGCAGGAGGTGAGGATTAGCTATGCTGGTAGTATTTTTACTTCACACGTTTGCGACTATAACACTGATTTAATATTTTTAAGTGCAGACAGCTCGAGAACAACCAAGCAGAGAATTAGCAATCTGGCAATATGTAACAGAAACTCAAGTCTCAGAACTGGAATCGTTAGTTATGGCTCTAAAGTAATGGAAAACTAACTCAAACCTGCCTACAGTGCTACACTCAATCCACTGGAAATGACGATGAACAAAGTACTGATTCATTTCAACCAAGAGTAGTACGGAACTACTTTGCAACAAAAGGACAGAGTAGTAAAAGGCTGATTTTCCTTAAGGATCACAAACGCTGTACCTTTGACAAAGTGCTATATGTCAGGGGAGGAGTCCGAGAACAGAAAAGATAAGTGACGGGCAGGGAGTAGTGAGGTCATTAAGCTAATACTAACTTTCATTTAGAAATCCACACTCCCCATCACCATCAGTT